CTGAATAATGTGCTATTAACTGGCCACGTTGCTTACACAAATTGCGCTTATCCTCGGTAAGTTTGTTGCGTTTGTAGCATTTTAAGTAACTTGTGGACATTTCTTACTTATCACGGATTTGTTGCTAACCAAATTACTTCATATGGTAATTTAGCGAAGAGTTATGCCACCGTATCTGTATGCATTATTGGATTTAATTTATACCAGCTTGTCGTTTAAAGTGAATGGCTGTTGTTTGATATCCCTGGTATGGTTGCGCTTGATGTGTATGTTGACAAGGTGCCTACCTGTCTATTACCCACTACATCGTCCATATTGGCTCCAGGAGACAGTTGGTCGTTGCTGGAGGGGACGGGGTGCACGGTACTTGTGGCCGTGCTAGGCTCAAAAAGCGGTTCCATGCACTCAGTGTGGAGCGGACTATGGTCCAGCCACCGCCTTGTGTGCGCTTGATTCCCCAAATACAGCGTGCTTGTGTTTGCCTGTGAAGGAGTGTGGGCCGGCTCCGTTGATGAAACGTGGCTCCCATCCACATGCCTCCCGGTCTTATTCCTTCGGGTTTACACTGGATATGGGGTGTGTGGATGGAGCTGTGGGTGGTGCAGCGCAAGCCATGCATGGTCCCTCTGTAGGCGCAGGCGTCCTGTGGCTGGCCACAGTGACAGGCAAATCCAAAACCGGATGCCGCCAACCCTATGGTGGCTGGACCGTAGTCCGCTCCACACTGAGTGCATGGAACCACTTCGAGCCTAGCACAATCACAAGGACCCCGCCCCCTCCAGCAATGGCCAACTGTCACCTGGAGCCAGATGGACGAGGTAGTGGGTAATACACAGGTAGGCACCTTGTCAACATACACATCAAACGCAGCCACACCGGGGATATCAAGCAACAGCCATTCACTTTAAACGACAAGCTGTAATAAAATAAATCCAATTATGCATACAGATACGGTGGCATAACTCTTCGCTAAATTACCATATGAAGTAATTTGGTTAGCAACGAATCCGCGATAAGTAAGAAATGTCCACAAATTACTTAAAAATGCAACAAACGCAACAAAATTACCGAAGATGAGCGCAATTAGCGTCAACAACGTGGCCAGTTAATAGAAGATTACTCAGGCAGGCAGAACAAATCAAATAAAGTGGAATGAAATGTATCCAGTTTAAAAAGGCCTAGTTTTAGTGTAAATTAGTTTAGCCCAACTGCGATGAAAAAGCATCAAGAATGCAACACTAGCCACAGCATGGGGCATATATATATATATATATATATATATATATATATATATATATATATATATATATATATATATATATATATATATATATATATATATATATATATATATATACATATATATCCAAGATTTGGGTACGCGCACATTTTGAGTATGGTCCAATCATATACAGGCATATGCGCAAGAGTCATCCACTATCATTGTAGCGTTCGCAGTGATCACTCACTAAAAGCCCTATAGGTGAATCGTCCCTAGCGATTAATCACGATGTACGTAAGTTACTGAGTAATAATCCCATATATATGAAGACTAAAAAGAAGCTTAGTTTTCTTCTACAAATTGATACGGTCTCAGGTTCAGTCCAAACAGTCGATCGAAGTCCAGGGAGAATGGTGACTACACCTTAAGGAACAGAACATTTGTTCTTCCTCACCAAATCTTCAAGGTGCAAATACGCGCGAATTTCTTCTTAGTAGGATATTGTTATGTGGAACCGAATGCCACACTCAGTAAGAGCAAGTCATTCAAACGGGTAGTTCAGAACTGAGCCAAAGCAACTCCTCTTGCCGAATGTAAATGGAGTAGCTATGTTTCCAACACCCGTGGAATATTTAATAAGAGCACACAACTTGTCGCCTCGTCAGACCCGTTTTACATATAAACATTGTCTTCTTGTGTTTTTTTTTACTGGAAAACGAATTTAGCGGTAGTTTTGGATGGTGGAGTAAAATCCATGTAACCCCATGACCAATCCGACCAAGGTGGAAAATTTTTCTGAAGTTTTGTCACCATTTATTGCACTCGTTCTACAGTTAATGTTTTTTCTTCTTCCCCGGAGGTGACATCATTGGGAACTCATAACAGTTCTCTGTGCCCTTCAAGTGGATTTGCGGTGTCAATTACTCTCTCTTTGGAACACATGCAGCGGTCGGATCTATCCCAATATTCCTTTAAAGTCAATCTTTCATACGAAACAAAGATTTTTTATTTTATTTGCTTAGGATTCTTGAGTACAACCAATGGACACAAGACATTTATCTATCGTTATTATTCTTTAATTCCATTTCTATAAATTCATCCCTTTCCATTGTTGGCCACGACTGGGTCGATCTCCTAAGGTGATGGACTGAAGCTTCTAAGCTAAATAGTGCACACACATGCAAGACGAATTGAAACACAGCGAATATCAAAAGTGCAGGACTCGAAACAGCTGAACTGTGAAATGGTCTGTACGGTGGAAGTGCCTAGCATATAACAGCGAAGCTGAAAAAACAAGTCGAATGATGGCAGTTTGCTTGCTTTTAATCCACATCAGAACACGGCCAGATGAGACTTGTAATTGCGGGTGAAGTCTTTCGAGGGACTACCCTGCTTGGAAGTAGGTACCCAGGAGACGGTTCTACGGGTGGTCGTAGTACTTTACTTGAACTGCTGCCTATAGGTACGTTGATTCCTACTCTCCAGTTCTCTGTTCTTTTGTTAATGTTAAATGACGCACGACTGTAAACTCCTTTGAAAACATCTCGGAACCAGTCAATTAACACTAGTTTGACAAGTAATATGGCAAACTGGCTCGACGGCGACGCCGGCAATGAATAAATTCGTGAAATCTGGCTGCCGAAGTGTATGAGGCATACAATAGACAACGGAATGTCTGCAAAAGCGCGAAAACCAGCAAACGCCGAAACTTCGAAGAGCAGCTTGCAACCGCAGCAAACACAGCTCTCAAGAAGAGCTTCGTATAAGTGAAGCGACGTCTGAAGAAGACAGGGGATGTGCCTGTGTTGGAGGTCTCGGACGGACAGTCCCTAGTTTCCAGCACTGAGCGTGCTTCCGCATTGGCGGCGCACATCACTTCCGTTTTTGCAGATAACCAAGCATCCGTACTAAGTTCGACGCATATCACCTCTAGCGAGCTGGACAGCCTAGATTGCAGCCTTGAAGATATGCGCAAATTGCTCGCCAGTCTTGACGGTACCAAGCCTGCCGGGCATGATGGGCTCCGTAATATTCAAATCGCTATCGGTCATCATCTCGCCTTCGGTGTCTGAGCTATTCAACGGGTGGCTGTCCGCCGGTTCACTGCCAAGGGAATGGAAATACTCAGTGGCAAAACCGATTCCGAAAGGTGGAAATCCCAGCAAGGTGGACAAATACCGGTCGATATGCCTGACCTCAGTTTTGACTAAGACGCGCGGGAAGATCGTGAAGCGTGGTCGTCTGCAGAAGCTTGAGTCGAAAAGCTTCTTGACCCCCGTGCAGCACAATTTCATGAAAGTTATGCATCACAAAACTGCTGCTCTCGATGCACGAATGGTTGTAAGCGCCAAACCAGGGGAAGTCGTTCGAGGTGGTTTACATCGACTGCAGTAAAGCGTTTGACAAGGCGAACGACGAGATCCTCCTTCGGAAACTGAAGATGTGCGGTGTTGATGGCTCACTGCACCAGTGCATCAGTGACTAACTTATTGGTCGGACGTGGAGCGTGCAGGTGGACATCCACTTGACCGAGTTGTATCCTTCGACCAGTGGCGTCCCGCAGCGCAGTCATTGGGCCCATTCTGTTCCTGATACACACCAACAATTTCCCTCAGCTTCTCAGTTCACCTTACGCGTCGTTTGCAGATGAGTTTAAGGTATGAAGGGCAATTGATGCCCCCAAAGACTGTGACTTGTTTCAGCATGACCTTAACCGCTTCTCTATGTAGTCAGCAAAAGCCAACCTTCCGACCAACCCGGTCAAGTCGATATTCATGAGTCTGGGAAAGGATGGTAGTGGAGAAGTACACAATCTGACAGGGCAACAGTTACACCCATCGCCATCCGTGAAAGATCTCGACGTATTCTCACGCTGCGATTTGAAATCCGCTGAAAACACGAACAGTCTTTACCAAAAGGGACTGCGCATGCCCTGAGCGCTCAAACACAGCTTCTGCACTTGGTCCGAAGTGGTTGCCATCCACCTCTACTCTTCTATCACCAGACCAATGCTAGAGTACAGCTCACCCGCCTAGTGTCCGCTCACCCGGGGCGAAGTGCAAAGGATTGAGTGGGTTCAGCATGTGGCCACAAGGCTCATACCCGGTTTACGAGGTGTGCCATATGAAGACCGGTGCAAGAGACTGGGGTTGTACACCCTGTCTTGTCGTCGAATGCGGGTTGGTCTCGTCATGACGCACCGGATTACCCCAAGTTAAGGCCGCTGCTTCATCTGCGCAAACCAAGCAGCACACGAGGACACCGGCACAATATTGTCGTACCGGATGTGAAGTGGGTCGCTTACCAACACTGCCTCGAACGGAGGGTGGTGAATATTTGAAACAACCTGCCTGCAGGCATAGTCGAAGCAAAGTCGGTGTCGGAGTTCAAGAAACTCATGGACTCGCAAACACAAGGATGCAAAACATATGTTAGCTTTTGGTCAGGTTGAAAGCTCCATCTTTTCTGATTGGCAGCTCAGTCTCGGGGATTCTTTGAATAGTGCATCGGGTCACTCTGATGGACAATTGAGTTTTTCATCACTCATTCAGTGGTTACGATTTACAAGATCGTAACCGGTCCAAAATCCTTTCAGTTAATCTGAGTGTGTGATGGATCGTAAGTGGCCATTTTGTTCGTTGGAGCATAAGCGGTATAATAAAGAATAACGCCGAATCCACAACGAATTGGATAGATACCGCCCATGTAACAGGTTCAATGACCGTACAGCAGAACACCGCAAATGAAGGAGCCTCAATATTGTGAAGTATAGACTCACCCGAAGTGTCGGCGACGAATCATTTCAAGAAGAACACGGCCCTCGCGTTCACCGACGCCCACACTGTTACACCAGTTGTTCGAATCCAGAGTACCCAATTGAAGGAATAAAGCCTCTAGATCGGCTTCGGAAAAGCCTTGTTCCGGCAAACATCCCTGAACGGGTCATGAAAAAGCAAGTGATGATAATGAGTATAGAAAACCTAACTGAAAAATGGACTTAAGAAATAAGCTAAGACTTGACATTTTCGTGAAGTGGCTTGCAGTTAAATCGACTGGGACCGATGTAAAGAAATTCGAAGGACATAATTATCTCGGCCAAGATATGCATGATTAAAAACGTTTGAAAGCATCTGGAGTATATCAAGAGATCATGCTGACGCTCCGCTGTGCAGTAATGATTATGTGCAGCCTATGGTGTTGCGGGGTCACTTGCACTTACCCAGTCTTTAAATGGTGAACCGAAAATTACAAGGCTGGAGAGTGGACCAATCCCCCACCAGTTGGTCATGATAATACGTAAATGGAATAGACGGAGAAAACAGATCAAGTCAATCGCAAGACGCTAGGATCGCCAGATATGAGATGAGAGCTGGAAGCGAGGGACCAAATGAAAAATCATTACTGGATAAATGCCATGCTATCTGATTGTGTCTTTGACCGAGGATGTAGTCTATCCCAATATGTCCACGAAGAACACCACGAGTAAACCTTTCGGCAAGAAGTTATGGATTTCTGTAACGTATAAGCTTTAGTATCCAGGGTCTATAATTAATAGAGCAAAATGTCGGGAGTGGGCATGCACGCTAAGCATAAAATAATCACCACATATAGATAAACTTCAAAAGGCGATCTAGGAAGACACCGGGCGGTTTCCTAAGATGTGGACAGCGGCATTTCAAACGCACTGCCCATGCTTAAAAGGAGTAATAGTTTGCGGGTAACCGGTGATAAAAGCAAGCAGCTCATTCGTGTTCCCGATGTGTAGCGGATATGACTGTGAACCAATCGGGAAGTAGTGCTGAACGGTAGTGTTGTACATCAAGTCTTTGATAGGTAAACCAATATATGCTGTTTGAACTTGGAAGGCCGCATGGTTCTTGTCGCCGCCCTAAGCAGCCTAGGTTACCTGAGCAGCGAGGATGTCACAGTCGAAGGAAAAGGATGGGGTATCGATAAACCCACTACTAATAGTGAACCCAAAGAACTTAAAGACCACTAAACGCCCTCTGAAATCGAAATACGTATTCAGAGGATTTCCTTGCGCGTGCCCTTCGATGATGACAGACAACTTGAGCAAAATGCAGCCTGAAGGTCAGAAAGAGGAATAAAGTATCGAACATGAGAGTGCGGCGCTGTCCAAAACTTGATGGTGTGCGAAGGAGAGGACTAAAATCCGTAAACTCAAACCGGAACGATCTAGTGTAATCGCTCAACGGAAATACAAACTGATTTCATCTTCATGAACCCATCGACATTCGCCTTGGATCCTTATTTTAACTAGCAATTGGGCTGTATTAATTGACAAAATTAGAATACCTCTTGAAGGAGTTTGGCAAATTTCTTGCGAGTTCTTGATAAACGTTCACACGACCGTGTAGTGTAGCTTGGTGTGATGTAAGGTTCTGTAAGTTTCAGAGTGCTTTCGTCAAGCATTTGGTTAGGTAATGACTTTGGATTAACACAATAGCTGAAAAACGAGAAACGAAGAGTAGATTAACGATGGAACGATTAGTTGAATAATGCGCACTGAAGGTACTACCATGGACAGCGCTGAAGATTTGATAGGAAGTAAGACGATAGAAGTAAGACGACTAGGGTCAGGCAACATATGATACAAGAAATGTATTCATAAGATTTACTGCCCATGACTAACAGTTGGTCGAATTCTAGGTTCATGTGCGTCTGATGGTTAACGCTGCAGAAGCTTCTGGAGCCAAAGTAGTTGGCATCCGAAATACCGTACCAGTGAATAAGGCATGTGTGCAAGATGACACACCTGATCAATAGCAGAATCCCCGAGTCACAAGTGGCCAAATGCTGATATTGCTATTGGCTGATGGACAACATCCTTTCGGAAACGCTGGTCAAAAACAGTGACGAAGTATATGCGGTTCAAGCATAGGGAACATGTAAGTAGAAAAAAGCAATATAGCAACACTAAATGCAATGAAATATGGAAGAGGAAGTCAAGCAGTAAGTATTCTGTATTGCCAAGGCACGAGGTTATGAAATACTTAGTGGCAATCAAGAGTCGTCAATCGACCACTACCGCTTCAGTCAGCTTACAAAATATGCTTAAAGATTTCAAGTTTGGGTCGAATGTCCGTGCGTTTTCGCTTAGCGTGCCAAAAAGCAATGATGTCTTTTTCACTACACCGAGGAAACCGATATCAACATCTTCTCCAGCAGTGCCCGGAACTCCACATCAATGGTGACGGGCTGCACTCTTCCACATCAGTAAAGTACCTTGGTGTTATGCTTAGTTGCGATTTTTCTTGGTCACACTATTGTCACAGTTTAGCAATTGCGGAACTAACACACAGTGGCTGGCCCTTAGCCGAAGTATCACAAAGCAAAATGTCAGGCACATGGAAAGCAAAACTGTATTCTAACCGACATGTTGTACAACGCATTGATGCACTACTCTAAACTAGGCCAATAGATAACTGGGTGAGGGAGGTACAGACACACGTCAGCGGATGCAGGCAACGAATAGAAAGGGCTCAGTACATTGGCCGTGGGGATGCTGCATTCATTTTCCCTTTAGTTTGGACCACTCCAGCTAACTTGGTATCGGTCGACGGGTCGGCGTAGCCGAGTTGAACAGCGACATTGCTGAGCCTACGGTTGGCCAGAGTTTTGAGAGTTCTGCGATTTTGTCGACTCAGTTTAGTGGTTTTAGGACGGGTCAACTGGCGGAGTTGAAACGAAACGATGACGGACGTGATCCTTGTGCCGAGGAACTACTCTGCCGTCAGGTAAAACCGTCAGGCAGTTCCTGTACGATCCTGGCGCTCAAGTCACTTTCGAGTCTTGGTATAAGCGGTACGAGGACCTATTCACTGAGGAGGAGCAGGAGCCTGAGCAGGAGCATCCAACCCCCTAGCCACCCTGCTCGATGCAGCAGATAAGGCGCCGTTTCTTATCCTCTGCGACGGCCAGAGCATCAGGAGATGGTTAGAAGTCATGGTGTATTGCCTGGGAAGGAACCTGTCAGGTTGCCCAGGCCTAGACAGGAGAAAGACTAGGGTTCTCAAACAAAGTCTTTGGTTCAAAAATCTGATCGCAAAACAGCGGGTCTTTGGCGGTGGACTACAGAGAGCCGGTTTTGTGGAGTAAGGAGCCACCCTCACTCCAACCTCAACCTAGAGGGCCAGGAGACTGATTTTGTCTGGCCTTTAATCGTTGACCAATCTGGTATGAGTAGCTCTGAAGGTGCAATAAACACCACGCAGCATAGCTCAATGGATCACTGAGGCACGCAAACCATCGCACCACGTTAAGGTCCAGTCTCATTGCGATGGAACAGTTCGCTGGTATTACCAGAGAGATAAGCAAATCCCATCTCTAGCACGTTCACAGCACCAGGGATCGGCGTTCCTCACTAAAGCAGGTGTCGGCCAGGATCAAGCGGAGTCTGTCTCAGCGACAAGGCAGTGGTGATCCAACTTTTCGGCGGGTGACAAGCAATTCCACAAGTGACAGTACTGACAGAAATTAAAGTGTATTTGATGCGCATCCAATGCGAATTCAGACTACTGTCAGAAGATGAAGCAAGCGGCATTGAGAGAGAAGCCTGGAACTTAGTTAAAGTCGCAGGATGTTGCAAATTCCCGACGTTCTGTTGGTAGTGCGTACGTCAGCGTGATCCTCCGAAATGCATGCAAATCTTGGCACGAACCAGTGCGCGATCGGAATTCAGACAGGTTGACCAGTACGATCGGCAGTCTGGTACGCTTCCGCACTGTTACGGAGAGTCAGCGTTCAGGCCAAGGGCAGTGCGCAACAGTGGATCGAACCACAATTAGAGATCGAACGCGAATTTATGAGGAGTCAACGGCGCCAGACCATGAACTTAAACGGTTTGAGTTGTGTTTATTAATATTAATTAGCATCTCCAATTTTGTTGTGTTAGTGGTTTCCTACAACCTATTTATTGCACCATGCTCTCATACAATAAAATCAGAATAAGAATCCGGATCCGGATCCCTCAGACCGGCTGGTCTTGGTGCTCTCATTTCGTGGTGGGTTGAACTGGTTGGGGGCGGTATAGCAGATTCAGGCAGGTTATCCGTAAAGTCAGCGGAAACCACAAGACATTTCTGGCAACGGTCAGCTGCACGGTAGCAGCAGATTAGCCGTTCATTCAGCGGCACCACAACACGCGCCATCTGTAGCTTATTGCTATGTGGTCAAACTGGGACCACTCTTGCATTTGAGAAGGCGGACGCCATGTAGCAGTCTGTCTTCGAATGTCGAAAACTGGTACTCGAAAGAAACAAGCGATGATCAAAATAAAGTGTCAGTAGCCTGTCTCCAGTGTCTGATCGACTGCTTCTGGAGCCAAAACTACCTCCAAGATGACGCTCACTTGGTGCTAAGCGGCCCACTCGTGCGTTAAAATCTCCGGTAAGAATGACAGTCAGAGGTATATGAGGAACGCAGGTCACGTAACTGTTGGTAAGATCAATCCTTGACTGCATCCGGGCTGCAATCTGTAAAAGCGTAAGCGGAGATGACTAACAAGGCATCTCGACGTTTACTTACGTGAACCTCGTAATCTGACTACACAGCCAACTATTGACAGGGATCCAGTCAAGTAAAGCAGCCTAAACCCCGTAACACAGTGCAATTCCAACACCAACTTGGCAAGAAACGGCGACCTCTGGGTCTCCGGAAAGGCGCAAGTGGTATTTGACGTCAGGGTTTGCCGGAGAGGTTGTTGTGATGACAGTACTGGTGTCTTGCAACCTGGTTTCGGAAAAGCAACAGATATTTACCGAGTGTCTCAAGGGTGCGGGCCAAGCATGCTTGTCGTCCGATCTGCATCAGAGTGCGCACATTGAATGCTGCAAGGCCGAATGGAGAACCAGGTCGAAGGAAAACTTGGGTTACGGTGGAGTGCGAGAAGGTTGTGACCATCGGGCAACGAACACCAAATGTTTGGCTCAGAACACTGTCAGATGCGACCAGTGAACTATTGTTGAGGGTGACCGGGGAAGACATACGTGCAGTTAAGGAATGGAAGGTGGAACGATTTGTGAGCGGATGCTGAGCAACAGAGACAGTATAGCCAGTAGACACAGCAAGAGTGAAAGTAGCAGTTTAATCCATTTGTGGTTCGTCATTGGGCGTGATACTTCCCGGTTGCCCAGGCCGAAGTAGAGGGTTGTCTTAGGGGCCCCACTCCGAGCTTTAGATAAGGGTTCTAATCTACAAGATAGCAGAAAGATATGAGGGTATCGCAAGCCTTTGGGAGCCGGTGACCAAACAAGTGGTGCATACGCCTTTAGGACCACAAAGGACCAGGGACGCAACACACCCTTGAAGTACAATGCCGATCAGAGAGAAAAAAGTGGCAGTGACTTCATTTAGTGGCAAGTCACATCTGCCAGGTTACAGTGTTGTTAAACGGACATATGGCTTTTTATAGTGAGAACGCTTGGCAGGCGAAAACAAACCACGTCCTGGAACATTGCCGCCGAACCATTCGCTGAAACGGCATAATCCCGAACCACCCAGCTGACACCACGAGGTTGTACGGCAATGCAGCCTTTCTTAGAATCAAAGATTGATCGCAGAGGCTTGTCGTCGGTCAAAAAAGTGAATCGCCGACCGTAAAGCATTTGGTGAAATTTATTGACTGCAAAAACAATGACTAGTGCTTCCTTTTCAATCTGACCATAGTTCTTTTCTGCGGCCGTCAATGTACGTGAGAAGTGTGCGACAGCTTTCTCGGAATCGTCTCGGAATCGATGGTAAAGAAGTGCCCCGAGCCAATAGTTGCATGCGTCAGCAGCGAGTAATATCGGTAGGATTGGGTCATAATGCGTTAGCAGCAAAGCAGAACTCCGCATGGACTTCAGACGTACAAAAGCCTTATCGCATGAGGGACCAATGCATAGAGAGGTCTTCCTGCACCAATCGATTGGGAGGGGCTCGCACGTTATGCAGCGATGGCAGGGAAGCGCTGTAATAGTTGATGAGGCCAAAAAAGTGCAATTGCAAGACATCACCAGGAACTGGCATCTGCGGAATGGCTTGGACGTTTCCTGGATCTGGATGACGTTGATTGGTATCGAAGATGTAGCCGAGGTACGTGATGGATCGAAGGAAAAACTGGCATTTTTCACCGCTCAGTTTGAACCCGTAATCTTGCATGAGTTGTAGCATTGTGACCAGTCGTTCTCGAAATTCAACCGAGGGGTGCGGCACATGATAAGGAGATCGTCCAGGTACGCTGCTGTAGCTGGAGTGCCAGTGATCATCCAGTCCATCATTTGCTGGAAAAGAGCCGAAACGGCCTTGACAACAAACGGCAGTCTGGTGAACAGGAAGAGACCGCGATTCGTGTAAATCATCAGGTCCTGCGACTCAGGAGCCACTACAAACTGAACGTAGGTGTCTGCCAAGTCGAGCTTTTTCCAAACAAGCGCCCCCATTGAGCATGGTGAAGAGATCAGC